AGGAGGAGTAAATAACACTTACTTATTTACTCTCTCCACACAAGTCATGATTTTATAGACCTCTATCATATACCCATCTTAGTCGTCTCTTTTCCAAGCTGAAAAGTCCCAGCCTTATTAATCTCTCCTCATACGAAAGCCATTCCATACCCCTAATCATTTTTGTTGCCCTTTTCCAAACCCTTTCCAATTCCAATATATCTTTTTAGAGATGGGGTGACCACATCTGCATGCGGTAGTCAAGATGGGAGTACCATGGATTTATATAGAAGCAATATGATATTTTCTTAATGATTCTCAACATTCTGTTTGCTTTTTTGACTGCCGCTGCACACTGACTGGATGTTTTCAGAGAACTATCCACAATGACTCCAAGATCTCTTTCTTGAGTGGTAACAACTAATTTAGACCCCATCATTTTATATGTATAGTTGTTTTCCAATGTGCATTACTTTGCATTTATCAGCATCGAATTTCACCTGTCATTTTGATGCCCAGTCACCTAGCTTTGAGAGATCCTTGGATCTTGGATCCAAATGCAAATAGGTGGTTAATCCAGAGCATGGAGCACTGGTGTAATGTACTCCTAGTGACCCAACGTACTCAGGACATGGGTCTTTGCATTTTGCACCAGATGTACAATAAACACTGAAGAGCACATTGCAGTAACATAGAGGGAAGATAGCAAAGGCAAGCATAACTGTGTCAGTGTCTGCATTCAAACAGAGGGCTAAGCTGTCTCGCCAGCCTTAGATGAAAAAATGTTCTACAGGCCAAGGCCAGTATCTGAGAATCCCAGTGCAATGGCAGACTGAGGATGACTCTAATATCAAACTGCAGTTGCCAATATATGTCAATTATTTGCAAGTGACACCAATGTGGGGGTTGATTTCATACTGCACAAGATTTATGCACCCAGTATTTATTTGCTGAATGGCACTCCCCTCACTCTGCATGGGCTCAGGCAGTACCTGACTGTGAGCCTCATAAGGGGGCAAGGAAGTGAACAAAAGACGCCAACACCCTTCTGATCACCACAGAGGAGAGAACAGAACCCTTCCAGGCTTCTGAGAAGCCAGCAGCAGAACCAGCAAATTGCCTGCCCTCTGCATTGTAAATTCAGGAGCTTCCTCCTGCCAGCTTCTGGGAGGTCAAAGGCACTTTCCTCAAACAGTATGTCTTCACTGTAGAGCTAACTTGAGTTATCTACATTCCAGTTACGCCTCTCAAGTGAGCTTAGCACAAAGTGAGAGTAGCCACACTGTGAAAACGCACTTGAGTTGCTGCAGCCACACTAGCGCTACACTCATTTATGCGTGCTGCTAAAATTTCTGAGGGCACATGCCATGATTTTTAGGACTGCAGTAAGCTAAGCTGCTCTATGAATTCTTTCACATTCTTTGTGGGAGAACTTGTCTGTCCTTTCTGAGCACATGGAGGAACTTGTGGGAAAACATTGGAGAACTAGAGGCAGTTGAGTCATGCTAGCCTGTGTCGATGCTGCAGTGGTTATGTTATTAGCAGACAAGTTGTGCTCACTCTAGCTTAAGTCTATACCCCCTTTCTTGGGCCAGCCAACTCAGTGAAAAGCACCACTGCACTCAAATTAAGGGTTTTTGTGCATGGACAAGAGTCAAGTTAGGGGCAACTCTTGAGCTATAACTTGAGATAACTTTGCAGTGCAGACAAGCCCTACAATTTCAAGGCCAGAAGACGGAGTCCTCCATTACCACCTTGGCCCAAAGCCATGGTTTATTTTAATTATATCGATTTCATTGTCTGTCTTCGGATGGACTAACTTTTGGGGTTGACAGTACTCCTGCAACCAGCTGGATGGTATGCCAAGGCTGCACAGCAGTTCTGGGACAGCTATTAGGCAGTACTCAGGAACAATCCTGTCTCCAATTTTCCATTCCCTCCCTATCCCCTGCTGTCTGGTGACTAAGGGCTTGCTTCCTATGTAACAAACAGGAGTTGAAGGACCTGGAACTGCTCAGCTAAGAGAGGAGCAAGCCTCAGATGGTATGTTTACACAGGGATTTTGGAGCGAGCCTCCCAGCCCAGATTGATAGACTTGGCCTAGCAGGGCTCATGCTAGTTCCCTAAAAATAGCTGTATAGACGGTGCCTTGAAATTGAGGCATGGGCTGGAGCTCGGACTCAGAAGCGACCTGGGCTGGGAGGCTCACTCCAAAATGCTTTATTGACATACCCTGAGACGTGCCCTGAACACTCAAACCCTGGTTTTTTGTTCAGTCGGGGCCCAGGGATTGGATGGAAAAAGTTTTTTTTTTCCTTTTACATTTTGTTGAGTGAATTTTATTGCTCGTAAAACTAGAACAAGTTTTAATGACTGTTAAATGCTTGACTCATATCAAAGAGGCACAGTATAAGAGCATAACTGCTTCTGTCGAGCACAGGGAGAGATTATAAAGAAACAGAAAAAAGAAGCAAATACAAATCAACACACAGTGGAAAAAAATCAGGCAGGGCGGAAATCCAACTTAAGCAAGTGTTTGTAAAAATAAAATGTTTTTAGTTTAAATGGCTTAGCCAGTGGGAAATTTCTTTCAAAAGCATGAAATGTGGTCTCTCAAGTATGTTCACTCCATGAACCCAAATGTCAGCTTCCAGTTAATATATGGCATTCAGAACAAGTTTTCCCACTTATTGTAAAATAGCAGTTATCTGCTGGCTAACTCTCATTGAAAATCCTGAGATAAATCCCAGACTCCAGACACAGTCTCACTTCTCTCACGCTCCTAATCCTCAAACTACAGATAATTCACTGAAAGGAAGAAAAGACAACTTGTGAATTTAAAAGAGACAGAGAGAGAGACAGACACTAAGGCCAATTTTCACCTATCACCATGATCTTTAAATTGCCCTTAATAAGCTTCTGCAATAAAAAAGGGAGCCTGGATTGTGGGCTGCTTGTCTGCAAAGGAGACAGCTCTATCTATGAGCTGTGGTTTCCACCTCAGTCCCAGCTTATTAGCTTTATTTATCTTCTCTCTCAGGCTGAAAGAGAAATAACCAGCTCTCGATTTCAGCACCTGCCCTTTATCATTCTGTTTATGCAGGAGTCTTCTAAAAGGCTAATTACTCAGCATGGACTTTCCCTGACTTACACAGTATATGGCTAAAAGCACATGATTTAAATAATGTTAATTACACTATGTTTATCTTGAACAGCAGTGAGGTTGCTTCTTGTAAGGATACTAAGACGCAGAGCTTCCAGTTCTTGGCATGTATTTGCCAAAAAGATTCAAGGGATGATTTTTCACATATTTACCTAAAAAGGTCAATTTAATTAGCAATCTGAGATTTGCGTTTGAGTTACAGGTATGTGTTCCTGTCAGTCACATGCCACTTCCCAGTGTGAAAGTGACGAGGAGTGGCATGGAGTGCAGTGAAACTCCTAAGCACCATTATGCAGATCAGGATCATGGCTGCAATTGCTTTTTTTGGTTTACATTTTTTCATATTTTAACCATGGCTCTAACAATATGCTCAAAATCTAAGTACTGGTAAATCTAATTCATCTGAAGTTATTTCTTCCACTAAACCTACAATAACCGAGTCAAGAACATTCACTATTTTAGATATTTTCCTTATTTTTATATATATATATATATATATATATATTGAAAAATAAAACCCTGAACTGAGCTACCAGGATGTGCGTCTGCCTTGAGTCAGTGAGTGAAAGCACGGCTTCAGTCCTCACCCTTCCACCCCCATGGCCTGTTTACTGTTCATCAGCCTCACTCAACATCGGGGATTACTGATGTTTGAGCACTCAAGATGAAACTCCCTATAGATACTGCATGCCATGGTTAGCTCTAACTATACCCAGAGAGTTATTCATGGTATTATAGGATTAAGGCACTCTCCTTTGTCTGGTAGTTGAAGCTCTGAGGTTCCTTTATAGCGCAGAGCTGCTGCACAAAAAGAGGGTAGATGCTCAGGCTGCCCTTCAGGCATCTCCTCTAGCCTTGGGCTAGGAGTTTCCCAGATGAGAAAGTCAGGGGCTAGAGCAAGAAGAGCTATGAGGTGCCATGGACAGAGAGAGAGACAGAGGCACAAAACAGCTTCTTCTGAGGGACAGGGTGAGGGGCCTGCCCTGAGGTTTCTGCAAGAGACACTTGCTTGGGCTACTGTTTGTTACCACCCACTTGAGGAAATGGGGCTTGTGTACATTTTACAAACAAACCCACACACACACTAAGGAAAACCTTGACTCTGCATCACTGATATCTGCTCCAGACAAGAAACTGACCTGCTCTGATCTGACCTTTGGTCAGCAAAGGGGCAACAATAATAAAGTCAGTATTTGGGAGCGAGTGTTGTCTAGTGCAGTGGTTCTCAAACTAGGGCCGTCGCTTGTTCAGGGAAAGCCCCTGGCGGGCCGGGCCGGTTTGTTTACCTGCCGCGTCCGCAGGTTCAGCCGATCATGGCTCCCATTGGCTGCGGTTCGCTACTCCAGGCCAATGGGGGCTGCAGGAAGGGCGGCCAGCACGTCCCTCGGTCCGCGCCGCTTCTTGCAGCCCCCATTGGCCTGGAGCGGCAAAGAGAGCAATGTGGGTGTCTGGAAGGCCAGAGAGGATGGCGACGCAGTAGTAAAAATGGGAAATGACAAGGGCCTGGTTGAGAATTTGTACAGTGTGGTCAGAGAGAATAGACTCCATCTCTGAGACATTATGAGAAAACCCCACCCCGGGCATGTTCTAACTTCTCCAAATCGTAGGCACCAAAATTCACTAGCAAATCACAAAAATACATTTTACACACACACACACA